GAAGATTGATGGTTTATAGCTTCAGCCTTGCCTTTATCTGCTGCATCCAGATGGTTTATCAGTATTTGGCCCAGACACTGCATCACCTCATCTTCTTTTTCTATCACCGCTTGGACGACGTCGTTTTTAACAATAACAACGTCATCATCCTCGTGAACAATTTGGTCACCGTCGGGGTGAGGCACTTCCATCAGCCACCCTTTGGCTTTAGCATCATCTTCAGCTACTTTTCGCAAAGCAAAGCTTGTGACGGCATCTATAAGCTCTTCATCAGAAAGGTTTTCCAATGTCTCAGCAACAAAGGCTTCGGCAACTGCCTCGACACATACGTTTGCCATGTCGGATTTTTTTAGTTTTCTCCACCTCGAGAATCATGTCGATGAAGGCCCGGCGAATTTTAGCTTTGCGCTCCTCCGACAAGGGCGCCAAGTCCAATTCGAGCATCCGGCTTTCCTTTTGCTTGAGGAGTCGGTCAGCAAAGTCAAATTCGTCTTGATCAGCTGGAATATGAGCACTTTTGATCTCAGGATTAAGGCGATGCTTTTCCAACTTTTCCAGAAGGAAGATCCGCAGCTCATCGACGCTGTAAATGCCATTCTCTACTCGGTCGATGACCCAGCGTAGTGTCAACGCTGCATTCAACTCAAGATCCCGTTCAGTCACGACATCTGCCACAACTTTTTTACCGACATTAATGCCCTCCTGAAATTTGAGCTCAGCTGCGGTTGTCATCTCTTGTCGGAGTTTACTCATAGCAATCTCATGAGCCTCGCGACATCGGATTAGCTCAGCATCCTTATCAGATCAGTCCTTGCAGACGGTTTGAAGCTCAGCCCTTAACCTCATGAGCTGCTCGTCTTTTTCTTTGGCCATTTCTTCAACTTTGGCCAACTGAACCGACATGAGGTCATGGGCCAGCAACAGATTTTCCCTTTCTGTCTTAAGGGCACTCACCTCGGTTTGTGCTGCTTTCAACTGGGCATCTTTCTCCGATAGTGATGCCTCGTAGCGGGATTTCTCGTCTTCTAAGGACACTATGGCACCTTCCTTCAGACTTAGTTCGTGTTGTTTCTCATCCAGCTCGTGAATTCGGCCCTGATAACTTTCTTCGGCCGCAATGAAACTGACAAGTGCTCGCCCTAAGCATCCTCGGGCATAACTAAACTTCTGGTCGTCGGGTAGAGACGCAATCCCGGCATGGGTCTTCGGATCCCATGACATCAGCGGAACTTTTGCCGCCTTCACCGCCTCGCTGGGGACCCGATTGTTAATTGTAACTTTTGTCTCGGCAACTGTTTGGAACATAGCGAACCAGGGATCAAATACAATCTCTGGCAATTTTAGCTCAACCGCTTTCTTTTCATTCACTTTGAGGAAGGAGTCCCTCAGAATGATTTCAGGCTCCTCCTCTTTATCTTTACCGGCGCCAGTGTTTGGCTTCTTCTTCATCCTCTCGGCCACATGAGACACGCTGGATCTCTTGCGCCGTTGGACTACATTTAAGCAAGGCTCTTCCGACACCTCTTGCGAGATGTCGCTCACCGCAGTAGGCTCGTCTACCAACGTCATCACCTGCTGCAACGGAGCAACGTCGAGGGGCGTGATGTCGGAAACTACTGGCTCGCTCACAATAGCCGGCGTCGGCTCCACTCTTGTCGTCGAAGGCTCACCGTCTGTTCCCTGGGGTCGGTTCGGATTCTTATTCCAGGCTTTCAGAAGATTTATACGTCCAGCCATCTCGGTTGATCGAAGATTTTTATTTTTTCCGACCTTGTTCTTCAAATCGAAGTTCGGATTATATCTCCGATGTTCTTCTGCTTCTACGGGATCTCCAAAACCGAAGTATCCCAGCAATGGATAATAGACCGTCATAAAACGTTTAAAGTTAGACCGACTTCATTGATGTGAAGGATAAAACGAAGCGAGTAAGAAGTGTACCCGGTTGAAACACAGAGTTCAGTACTCCGGGAGATAAGCCAGCAAGCTCTAATCGAGAATCCTTCACAAGTCGTTGATATCGTCGCTTGTTTTAGGAAACTTCAAATAGCTTATCCACCCGATCATACAATGCACCTTCAAATCTGGGTTCTTTCTTTCCCGTTGGCTTTGCTACAAGGTCACAAAAGTCCACCTGTTAGCGAAAACAAAAGACAAGGTATTAATAATCGAAGTGAAGAAAACGATAAATAACTTACAATAACTAGATTTAATAGCCATTGGGATACTCGTCCCATCGGCAAGAAGATCAATAGCGAAGTCGGTGCACTGCCAGTCCCCACCGACCCATAACCATTCCTCTTTGAAAACAGTGCAGTGTGTCGGGAACTTCCAATATCAATTCGCCAACTTTAACCCTTGGCTGAGGTTTGCCGACAATAGAAAAAGTGAGAAGCAGATCTGATATTTGTCTGTCCGGACTCTTCAAAAATGTAAACATACTCCTCATATCCTTTGCCGACGGAAGATCCCACTTCTTTTCAGCAAAGAGCACCAGTAATCCGATGATCCAATTCCATGAATTCAAAGCGATCTGGCATATCGGAAATTCCCAATCCCGCAAGTACTCAGTGATTATACGCGGCAATGGAAATCGCAACCCTGATCTTAAGCTCTCGACAAATACACCGACACATCCGGGTGGTAGATGTCATATCCCATATAATTATATACAATAAGTTATTAAGTCGGTAAGTAATCAACAATAGTTTTTGGAGAATAAGTTATTTAAGATAAGTTCAAGTTCAAGTAACGGTAAGTTTTATTTAGCTAAATGGCTGTATGAGAAAAAAAAAATAATAATAATAATAATAAATTATACAGAAAGCCGTAGCAATATAATGTCATCATTTAATTATTGCTCACATTATTAAGTGTTGAAATCAAATGATGCTCAAGCATTTTAAGCACATGAGTTATGAGTTGTTAGTACATTATAATAGATGATTTTTCAGCTTTATAATATTCAGATTTTTGAACAAGAAGATAGAAAAAGCCGGAGAATATTTTAGAACATCATTATGACTCATGCACATGCTTAAGTAAATTTCTTACAAGTTTCTTTTCAATTTTTTTTTATTCAAAGATGCTATCAAACTCAACTCATATAACATGTTTTTTTTTTTATTAGCATTATTTTTCAAAACTCAAGAAGCTCAATAATTTCCGTCCATAAGCTCAAAAGCCGAACAACATTATTTAGCAATCATATAAAATCTTTTGATTAATTTATGGTTTCATTTTTAATTGTTAAAATTCAATAATTTTAAGCATCTTAGGTGGAGTGAGATTTTTCTTGATCTAAATCTTGCATTAGCCGTGTATTTTTTTGAGTCCAAAGGTGCATTATTGCCTAATGACTAATTATAGCCCATTAAATATTAACTTAATAATGAGCAAACCTGATTGATTCCTATAGTATTATTTAGGAGTAGTTGTGAGTTGTTACAACAATAATTTGAGTTGATTGTCCAGATCATGTTCTTCACGCATGATACAACTCATAGT